CAACTAACTGTCAATACGATTGCCCATGAAAAAGGGAAGGCGATAGAGCTGGCAGGTGTATTTGAGATGCTTTTGCTAGAGAGACAGATTGACAGATTGGGTGATTGAGTGATTGAAGCTGGCTAGTTAATCAACAAAGCGTTGCCTACTGAAGGTCAGCCAATGTGTTGACAAAAGAAAAGGGGCAAAGAAGCTGTTGCCAATTGCTTATACACCGATATATTCATATATATTTAACTATATAGTAGCTGCTCTCTGACGGATATCGAAATGCGTTCCGCTTCGCAGCGCGTGCATTTCAGCTGTGCAGCAGTTTGTGTCTTTGCTGCACACACACTCACACATACACACGATATCAAATGAAACGAAGTGCTAATGGCAATAATAATTATGCGGAGACAACGTGGCGTATGCGTAACCTAATTTCTGACTCAAAGACAAGTTTGCCATTCATCACAGCGATTATAAGAGCGACAATTATAATAATAGTAAAAGTAATAAWAATAATACTAATAGCAATAATATTAATAATAATAATGCTATGCAATTATGCTCAATAATAAACAGCAATCAGTTTTTACGAGATTGTACGAGTTGATTGCGAAAACAAATGCCGGACAAACAATTGAAGTTTCAAGTTAGTTGTCAATGTTGTCAATGCTATTGTTGTTGTTGTTGTTGTTGTTGTTGCTGTTGTGGTCACTCATGTGAGAAAGTTGTGCCAAATGCAGATTTTACTCTAATGATAATGTAACAACATCTCTTTTGAGCTGCTCTCCCCCACAAACTGCAAAATTTCAAAACTTTATAGCTCGGTTTGTCTGTGTGGGCGGCATTTAGTAGTACAGTTTGTTATTTTTCCTTTCATTCCATTCCATTTCAGAGTGTGCATAATTGTAATGACATCAATTTGAATTGCTGCCCAGCTGTTGGTCAAGTCTTTTGTGGCCTTTAAGTTTTCAAGTCGCACAAGTTGCTGAAACAAAGCGTATTTAAGCATGGCTTTAGATATGCCATATACGATATGCTACACTCTATATTTAAGCCTAAGCACATTGTGCAAGGCCCATCATTTGCAGCTCTGCTTGAAATGTGTTGCAAGCGAAACGAATTGGCATTTTAATGTAGGAGTTTCGTCTGTAGATGTTGGATGTACGGAAAATGTTATTTCTCTGTTAAAAGTTATTACTACTGCCAGTTTTACTCTTACTTTTCTCGGTTTATTCGACGTGTTCAAACTTCTGCTGCTCTAATATTTGTCCTTGTTCTACTTTTGTTCTTCTTATTTTCATTTCAATTCCTTGATTTTCTTCTTTTTCGCTTTTCCCAATTCTGTCACATTTTACTGCTACATCTTCTTCCTCTCTCATTTTGCATCTGCCTACATTTTTCCATCTTACTCCAGCTACTTCTTATATTCCTTTTGCCAATTCTATTGAGTTTCCCTTTATGATTGTACTCCTATTTCTAGTTCATCTTCAATTTAAATGTCTATTCAATTTTCTACTCTAATTTCTTCACTCCACTTTTATTCCCACATCATTCACTCATTATATACTCCTAATATAACTGCTACTCGTCCTCCTTCTACTACTTTTACTTATTTTTTTGCTACTGCTGCCTTCCTTCATAGTGCCCTTCGACTCCTAATCAACATCTTAGTCCTTCGGCTCCATCTCCTTTTATTCGCCATCCCATTACTCTTTCTAATTCTTCTACTTCCATTCAGTCCTCTCCTCCCCTCCTCTTTCTACTCCTAATACTCCTACTTTTTCCACTCCATCCATCTTCTCTGCAGCTATTCAACACATACATATGTCGTCAGTCAATCTGTCAGTTTGTCAATTATTCAGCTGGCTCACACAGTTATATGTAAATACATATATACGTTTATAGATTATGTACATGTCTAGCTGCTCCAGTTTCAGTTAATTTAAATTAAAATAAAAACTCTACATTTTTCCCTTTGCCAACTGCTGCTGTTGCTGTTGCTGCAGACAACTTCCTGTTTGGCCTCTATCTCTAGCTGTTGCCTGGCCCAGCAACAACAATAACAACAACAACGACAACTTCATTGTGCACACAGATGTTTAATCAACATCATTTAACTTCATCATCACGATATAACAACAACAGGCAGAACCCAACCTGCCTTGGCAGCTAAACAGCTTCTCGCTCTAAACTTTTCTTGTTGTTGTTGTTTGGCCCTTTTTTCTCATTTGAGCTACTTGACTGTTTTAGCACCCCCGCTGACTGTCTGACTCTCTCTCTCTCTCTCTCTCTCTCTCTCTCTCTCTCTCTCTCATATATATATATGGCAGATTTTAGTGCAAAACAATTTAAATAACAAGTTGGTAATGGAGCCGCATCTGTGCCTGGGAATCTTTACTGTGCCACATGTGGGTAAGCCCTTGTTGTCGTTGTTGTTGTTAGCCAGGCAACAAAAAATTACTGGAGCATGGAATTGTTTATTGTTGTTGTTGTTGCTGTTGTTGTTTGGCGCTGATTTAAAATGTAGATTTCTTTGGTAGCTGCTTTGCTGAGGTTTCATTGCACAGCAGCACATTGATGCGGCAGCCAGTGCAACAGCAACAGCCACTTGCCACTTGCCACTAACTCACTGTTATTTCGTTGTTGTTGTTGTTGTTGGCAGCAGCAGCAGCAGCACCAGCAATTGACATTTGTTGGCAAATTTGCATGCCAAAGCCATTTGCAATGAGGTCGACTTCTATTTGTGCGAATTGTAACGCGCATTTTAATTAGATTTTGATGCGAGCTAGATGGAAGGACAGTCAGAGAGAGAGAGAGAGAGAGAGAGAGGAAAAGAGTAATGAGATGAGGTAGCTAGAATCCGGGGAAGTAACTCAACTACATGCAGATTAGTTCACAGCTACAGCAGCAATTTAATCTCTTAATTTAAATGTGTATAAAAAAAATTGAATTAACTTTGGGAAATGAACTCTTAAAGGCGTCACACGAGCCGCAACTAAATTGAATTTATATAATGAACATCAACTCTTTAATAGCTGCTCGATTAGCATAATAATAATGCAACTGTGTTGCATGCAATTTTTTAAATGAAAAATGGCTAAAAAATAGCTATAGCATAAGCAGAACTATAAAAAAATTATATATATATATATAAAAATAATAATAAGGCAGAATATTGCATTATATAAATTAAATATGCATAAGGACACAGTTGAAGGGTTGAAGGAATTAAATATACATAAATGCTTTAAAAAGCTTTCAAAATTGTATATACAAAATTATGCTTTGGCTTTAAGTAGTCTAACCAGTTTTTTGCTCACATTTTTGGAGTTGAGCAATATTTGCAAAACTCTTATTAAACTTCCAAGTTTGTATGATAAACGTTTTATATAAACTTTACATAGAGTTGACTTAAAGAGACTTTGTCATGCAGTTTTTGGAACCTCTCTCTTTTTTATGCAGCGAGTAATGCCTAGATGTCATTGATGATATTCATTAGAATTTTAGCTAAATATATATAAAGTTTTAATATATCTTAAAGTTTCTTACATTTAAATATTAAGAAAATGCTTTACAAATAATAAATTAAAAAAACTTTAAAGTTTAGTATATTTCATATGTGAATTAGTAAATAATTTGTTAACGAATAAATAAGTATTTGTTTCTTAAATGTAACACATTAAAGAGTTGATAACCGTCTTTAAAGTATCTTTTTCATTCTCTCTCTCTCTCTCTCTCTCTCTCTATCGCTCTTTCTGCCTCTGTCTTTCATGTGCCGCCTGCCTGGCCATAAATAAAAGTTTTATATATATTTCATATTATATATATCGTTTAATAAGTTTATGCAAATGTTGACCATAGCAAAAGCCACAAGCAGATAATTCATATTAAAATCTTAATTAATAAGCGTTCAACTTGTGGTTTGTTTGCAGAGAGCGAGAGAGAGAGAGAGAGTGAGTGAGCACTGGGCGTGGCGTATAGACCACAAATGCTAACCGCAGCATTGTAAAATTTGCAGCAATCAATGCAGATTGCATAAGCAAACCTCAATTTGTAGTTTAAACAAAACGAAAATTAAACAATGAGAATTCAATTCATAAATTAAAGTTAACTTTCCATATGAGCTGTATGAATGTTATAGATTAAATAAATATGGGAAAATGGATGTAATATACAGATAGACTTTGTTAATATATGTATAAGTTATTATCTATATTTTCAGCAACATTTCCATTATTGTTTTTCAGCTCTGCTGAACTAGTCCTGGCTTGAATCACTCAGTTTTTGTATTTTCTAATTTTCTGTTTGTATTATGGGTCAAAGTCTTTGAAAAAATGACGTTATAAAAAAAAAAAAGAAAGAAAAAGTAAACCAGGCGCATAAAAAATAAAGCCAAAAACTATATACATATAGTATATATATAGAAAAATGTGGTTATATGAAAAACTGAAAAACATGGTGCATAACTGACAAACGAGTTCTGGCAGACAGATAACAACAACAGCAACAGCAACAACCACAAATCTAATAAAAAGCCTCGCTTGACTAAATGTAAAAAATGTTAAGTATACCAGAAATTTATAGCGTACAATTTTTCGCTTTTTGTTTTTTATAATTTGGTGTGAAAATAAATATATAAATGTATAATGCAGAAAAGTAAACATATAAAAAAAAATGGAAAATTGTGGAAAAAACATTGTGAAACAATTTCTCTAATTAATTGTACAAACAGTTGTTGTTGTTATTGTTGTTGTTGCTGCTGCTATTTTATTGCACATTTTCCGCTTTTGGTCTGGCGAATGCGAAACTGGCTGCCACATGTGGCATGCTTGCCAGCCCACCCAGACGCCGCCTGCGTCGTCGCGTCGCGTCGCGTCGCTCAAATTGCCAAACGGCGCGACAACATTTTTGAGATGGCAAAAGCTTTAACTAATTTAACGCGTATTTCAGTTGCCTTTTTTGCACTCATTTCATTTATTCATTTTTTTTTCTGTTTACAACATTTGCAGGATGCCAGTCATGTTGCCGCACCCAACAACAACAGCAGCAGCAACAGCAACAACTTGCCACAGCAAGCAGCAGCAACAGTGACGGCAGCAGCTGAGCCAGCGTTAAATGTCGAGGCTGTCATATTGCAAAATCAGGTGGACACATTGCAATGGCAATTGAAGCAGGTGAGTGACTATAACAAAAGACTTAAGACACAAACTTCACATTAGAATCGAAGCGCTCTACAAGAGTCTAGACTCGGCGACACAGAAAACGTGACTTCAGCGCTCACTTTGGCTTGTTGTTAGCTATGCAAGCGGGTGTTCATAGCCCTACTCCCCCGCCGCCTTGGCTCTGCCCCCTGCCGCGCTCCTTACTCCTCCCATGCTGCTGCTCTACATAGCTTGGACTTCAACCTGTTTCCCTTGACTTTTAAGACATGTGTGCGCCTACCTCCCTCCCTCCCTCTCTCTCGCTCTCTCTTATTGCTAACAATATATTCTCACGCTTATAATTATAGATAAAGAGAGGGAGAGAGAAATAGAGTCTGTGTCTGCGGCCACACTTAATAAACACAACTCCGCCTGCCTCTCGCCTTCCCTCTCTCACTCTCTGTTTCCCATCTACTCATACTAAGTGGCCTTTGTTCGTTTTTCTTTGTATCTCATCGTCGCATTTCCTTTATTTCTGTTATTTTTTTTTATTATGCTTTTGCTGTCCGGCTTCGGCTGCGTGCTAGGGCCGCGTCCAGCCACATCCACAATTAGGCGGCACATTCTTTTTAACGCTTAATTATAGACCGGCCAGCGTGGTGGTCGCCAGCACCACTCGATTCTATATTCTCCACTCTACTCAGCTCAGTTCTTTGGTTCTCGTCTCTTTATTTCCATTCTGTTTGGCGTCTCATTGTCTTTTGGCCATTTCCTCAATGGCTGAAAACTTGCAGCATTAATTTTAAATTTCCTCAAACAAAAGATTCTAGAGAGAAAGAGAGAGAGAGAGAGATGGCGACTTTATCTTTTATTGACTGCTGATGGACAAGTATAGCATTTAAATGCCAGCCTACTGTGCTGCCAATCAGATAAAAATGTTCGAGATTTTTTAACAAAGATTTCAACTTAAAATTATTGAGGAAAAATAGTTGTAAAAGACGCGAAGAGTGCAGCTGCTGCTGGTAAAATTATGCCTAAAGCGGAGCTGATAATGGGAAAACTGAAAGAGTCTAGTTCGATTTATGAGATATGTGAAGAATCTGTAAAAGAGAATGCCTTTGGGAAGTAGACTAGATTACATAACAAGTAATGGAAGCTCTAATTGAATAACCTTGACTAGGCTGAAACGGAGAAACTCTTAAGAGAGTGAAGTAAAATGTAATCGATTTATTATTCATAGATTCGAAACTTTTGTCTGGTTCTCTCTGGGAGCAAAAGTATAATATGACCAATCGCCTCTGGTTTCTATTTAGAAAATTCATAATTCACTCAAATGTCGCTCTAATTGAACTTATTGATAATTCAATAAAGTCTCTTGCCAAAGCATATAAATATAATATCAATAATCTTTGATATACAAGTAGAGTAGGATTTATTATTTATTAGTATTTTAAAATACTAATAAATAATAAATCCTGCTATTCTTTTATAACATAGATAATGGATTATTATTTTTGTTTATTATT